CTTTCGCAGAATTTCATTCGACCTTTCAGATCTCCGAGTCAGGTACTCATGTGGTACCCCCACCCCCTCAATAACTCATAAACCACCCCTACTTGAGGCGGTGTTTTCAGCCAACCACCGGTGTACCGCACATCCCCTCATCGGCCCTACTGCTCAAGTTTAAAAAAGGCACGTAAAATCCAAGTGTACCACAAGTTTTTATTTTGTGAAAGTCATTCTTGGTTCATAGTACCACAAACAATCTATAAAATAACTAAAACAGTTTTAGTAATAAGTTACAATGTCTGATTTGAGTTTTATTCTTACATTACACTTATATAAATACCAAGGGTCGGCAATGCTCTTTTTTGTTGCTCCACGAGTTTTCCTCACAGATGACACCTGCAACCCACTGGTATCTTCCTCATCGTCGTACTCCTCCTCCTCATCTTCCTCATCGTCGTACTCCTCCTCCTCATCTTCCTCATCGTCGTACTCCTCCTCCTCATCTTCCTCATCGTCGTACTCCTCCTCCTCATGTTCCTCATCGTCGTACTCCTCCTCCTCCTCATGTTCCTCATCGTCGTACTCCTCCTCCTCATGTTTCTCATCGTCATACTTCTCCTCCTCCTCATGTTTCTCATCGTCATACTACTCCTCCTCCTCATGCTCCTCATCGTCGTACTCCTCCTCCTCCTCATGTTCCTCATCGTCGTACTTCCCCTCCTCCTCATCTTCCTCATCGTCATGTTCCTGATCATCGTCGTACTCCTCCTCTTCCTCCTCCTCATCGTCCTCCTCTCTATCTATCTCCCCTTCAGATCTCGCCTCTCTATTTCTGGTTCCTTGTCCTGCTCCTGCTGCTGGATCTTGATGGTCGATCTTGTGCTCCATCCTTCCTTTCTGCAGATCCATCCATCCCATCTCCTGCTGCCTCATGTACAATCCATATTCTACTCCCCCGTCTTTCCGATAAGTTAGTTTTCCCTCCTCTCCTGTCCGTCTTCAACTCCTGCTCGCTACTCCTCCCAATTGGTCCTGCTGACTGCACTATCTGCCACAATTGCCAATTATGCTCAGCATCTGCTGTCCTGCTCCTGCTCTTTGAAGTATCCCACTTTGTGTTCTCCTCACTTCACCGTCACCCATTCGACCTTTCCTAGCGGACATCGTATGCCTCTTCTTCCTTCCCTCCAACCCCATGCCCAGTTCCTGCAACCGTCCGATGCCCAATGCTTCCTTTCACCAGTCTCCCTCCCACCATTACCGCCATTGTGCTTGTGGCCTGTTTTCCCCGTCTTGCTCCGAATTTCAGTATCAATTTCCATGTTTAATCGTACTTCAGTCCTAGTCATTCTCATTAGCTCTGTATGAGTCATTGATGATGTTCGCAGCCAGGTTTCGTCCCTACGTACAAGACAGTAGGCTATGACCAGAGCCCGGGCTGCCGCTTGTGAGGCTCCTTATGCCCCAGCCTTGACGCCTTGGTTGACGTCTGAGCCTTTAGGTATCCTGAAGTGCATCTCCCGGGCAACGACGTCGTTTCCTGGGAGCCGGTATCCTCAGCGAGCCCATGCCCATGCTTGTCGTTGTTGATTTCAATGCAGGCGACCTTCGATGCTGGTCTCTGGGGGCCTGATAGTGTGGCCAGCTCGGGGTGAAGTTGACCAAGACTCAAGGATGTCAGTTAACTTTACGAGATGTGATGGTTCCCCTTTCTTTCCTCCAATTTTCTGCACCTTCACGTCATGTAAATTTGTGCAACTCGACTCACCTCCAGCGCCATCACTCGCATGTATGATAACGACTTTGAGCAATCGAGGGAAGTCGGGCAAACTCCACGAACTCTTTGAGAGCACATGGAGGAACGCTGTCTTCCCTGCGCCTCAAATAACCTGCTCGCCTCTCCTCACGTCTCCCCACCTGTCACGTCCTGATATCATGCGAATCTTGGATGCGGTCGTGCTATCCAACAAGTATCGGACGACTTCCCACACGATCGCAGCGGTGCGAGGAACGGGGTAGATCAGCATCCGCTCTAGCCTTCCTGCCAGCAGCGATGAGACGAGAGTCGCCAAGGTCTCAGGGCACCAGGAAAGAAATCGTTGAGCAGGGGAGCCACTTGTCTGAGGTACGACAGCAGGCTAGTGGCTGGTGGGTTCGGCCATCTGAAAGGAAGTGAGGGAGTGAGAGTAGAAGAACCTTTGAGAGTAGAACTATGAGGGTAGTTTGTTTTCTTCCTACCCGTGTCCCGCCCGCACGTCGATCAGGACTGTGAGTCGTAGACTTGAGTTTGCGTCGATCTCGAGCATTTTCTGGTTCAAGCAGGTGAGATGGACAACATGAAACATGAAGCCAGCCCATCATCACTAGACATCAATCTAAAGTCAATCACAACACCATCACATTCATATCGGCAATACAACAAGCTGCACGCATCATCGTCACATGTAATATCCATTATCAATCTTCATGACTCTCCTACCTTCACTGTGTAGACCGCGTAGTCCTGTGCAGTTCCTCTGCTGGGATCGTACATCGCGCCTTGCACAAACATAAAACCAGAGCCGTCCCTTGCTTCCCCGCAGTTCCAAATGAACTCCGGGAGTTTCTCAACACGATGTGCCATGGACGCAACATTCTCTTCCTTCCAACTGACAAACCTGCCATGTTTTAGCGACAAGCAGGCGGACAAGCGGCGGCACCTGCTGTACTTGCCTATCGCTCGCTCTACGTCTCCTCTGCTCTTCTTCAAAAACCTTTCCAGCTCCTGGGGGCTCATTCAACTTTCATTCCTTCCTCGCAATTTCCTCACCTTTCGATGCGCATCGGGAAATCTCTTGGAGAAGATCAACATCGATTCTTCTTCTTTGGTGCAGTTATGCATTGAGCTGCGCTCTTCAGGTCGCATGATCGTAGATTGCATTCTCCTTGACTCAAAGATCTCTTGTTGTTTCCTCCCGCTCCCTTCGCATCTCGCATGAAGCTTCGCCGCATGAAGCATGATTGCGATCGCCACAAACCTTCTCTCGGCGTCAAATCGCATGGCTGTCACGACCTGATGGTTCGGAGTGCTATGCTTGCACGCACAAGGCTCCAGCAAGTGACTGGCAGCTCCTCCCTTCCCTCAGAGCGCTTGGGACATTGCTTCCTGATTCTCCCCTGCTTCCTGCATCTCTACACGCAGCGAGGATCTGGCATGGCAGTGTCAGGCTAGGGAAAGCGACAGGAGAAGAGGAGGTGCCGAGGCAAGTGGATGGCAGGAAGGACGTCAGAAGACAGCACGCGAGGTTTACGGAGGATCGAAGAGCAGCAAGGATCAACGTGGGAGGTAAGATGAGCAGGAGAGAAGAAGATGAGAGGGAAGACGAGGAAAGACAGTCAACGAAGACGACGATGATCGGAACAAGCAAAGGCGGGAAAGCAGAGAGAGTGAGGCGCGGAGAGCAGGAGGTGGGGTTCTGGCTCGGGGAACTGGGAAGGAGGGGAGGCGTTTTTTTTCAAATTGAAGTGCGGAGATTTCGAGCAGGACAAGGAGTTCGAGCAAGGTAGCAAGCAGAATCGCCCCCAGTACAATCCACAGCCATGCGTGTAAGGAGGAAGGAAAACGAAGATAGGAGAGGAAGATAGGTGAGGATGGGGAGGGGAGGAGTGGGAGAGAGAAGTGTAAAAGTCATTTACCGTCAACTAAAACTTACAAGGAATTCAAAGAGTGGGTGCAGAAGAGAGCTGTTTGTGATGACTGATTGCGACGGTATAATGACAATCATGTCAGAACATCACCAAACCTGCATGTCTTGTGACGATTATCGTCACAAGAAAATGTGAAAGAAACAATATCGATGCTTGTCAACTGGAGGGCAAAAACTTGACATGGTGGGCGAGAGGCATGATGGAAGTTCGCGATGATCGGTCAGTGACTCAGAATGTCTCGCTCGAGCTTGTCGACATATTCTTGTCCTCCGTTCTTGATCGCAGTGATTGAAGCTGGAGTTCCCAGCAGTTTCAGACGCTGCAGCCGCTTCAGCTTTTCTTGTCTCTGTCGCAGGTTGGCAGCCTCGTCCTCCCTCACCCTCCTCACTCGCTGAGAACGGAAGGGATCGTTGATCACGATCTGGTATCCTGTGATCTCTGGGCGAACAGACGAGGTCCGAGCAGGGATATCGTGGAGGTCCCGTTGGGCGTCGTCGTAGTAGACAGAGTCCGGAGCCCGCGAAGGCGCGTACCCCGAAGGGATCACGCTGATCCCTCGGTTCTCAGCCGCTGCTTGTGAGACGATTTGAGCAGGAAGCCATTCGCGAGCCAAGGAGGAATGAGAGGGAGAGCTCCGCTGCTGCTGGTGGACCCTCACTCGGCGACGAGTCTCCTGGGGACGCACGTATGGGCCCCAGAGGGAGGTGACATAGGGCGCGATCAGGCTCTACAGCTCGCGGTCAGAGGGGGCGAGCGAAAGCTGCTGGTTGTACTGCACCTGCTCGCTAGAGGGAAGATGGTCCGTCTCTTCGATGGTGTAGCCCGGGTGTGAGGTTGCAGATAGAGCAGCAGCTGCAGCTCCGCGGTCAATCAACAAGCGGCCACAAGGTTCCTTTCCTCTCACCTGAGCCATAGCCCTCAGGCTCCCGACAGAACCACCACTTGCAGCCGGGAGCTGCCTGCATGGCACATATCAGAGGCCATGGAAGCTTGTCTTGGAACAAACCTTGTTCAACTCGCGCCGAGTGAGCAAAGAAGACACGCGTTGAGATCTGCAGGTAAATTCATGAATGAATTCAGACAAGGTGGCAGAAACTGACCCTGTAGACGATACGCTGAGATGAATAACAACAACAAGCGCTGACACTGCTAGTAGCGCAATTCCTGACAGAAGGGTGTATCTGACAGAAAATGATCAGTCGAGTACGGTTTTATGCGCAGATGATGGGAAAAACAAGCAAAGGAGCACTCCATCTCACCCTCTTTCGTCCTCCTTCTCTCACTCTTCTCCATATCTTCTTCCTGCTGCTCTTTCTCTGCTCTCATCCCCTGCTCCTGCTCCTGCCCCTGCCTGCCCCTGCCCCTGCCCCTGCCCCTGCCCCTGCCCCTGCCCCTGCCCCTGCCCCTGCCCCTGCCCCTGCCTGCCCCTGCTCCTGCTCCTGCTCCTGCTCCTGCCCCTGCCTGCCCCTGCCCCTGCCCCTGCCCCTGCCCCTGCCCCTGCCCCTGCTCGATCGTCTGACATCATCTCATCATCATCATTGCTCACCGCTGCATGTCTCTTCGGTAATCCATGAGGCGGACTCGTCACAGTAAACACCGAGCCCCCCTCAGGGTTCTTTGAGAAAATGAGGGGATGAGGGCCCACGGCCTCCAATCGGACATGCAGATCGCTTCACCTGACGATTTACACCTCCATGTGAGGTACGAGAGGAGGAGGAGAAGGAGAAGGAGCAGAGAGGAGAGGAGAGGAGAGAGAAGTAGTCTAGGAGAAGCGGAGAAGCGGAGAAGAGGAGAAGAGGAAGAAAGGAGGGGAGAGAGAAGCAGGGGCAGGATTAGGGGAGAGTAGGGGGAGAAGATGAGAAGAGCAGGAGGAGCAGGAGGAGCAGGAGGAGCAGAAGGGGGAGAGAAACTGTAGAGAGAGGAAGATGAGAGGAGGAGGAGATAGAAGAAATTGGACGATCAGCATTCAGTTTTGGTAGTCAATCGGTTTCAAGAATGATAAAGGGATCGCGTGACCATCTCATCACAATCTTTCCGGCAAACAGAGATGGCGAAATGCTCAAGGCAGTACTCCCGCACACAGCACGTATCTTCCGCAGAGCTATCATCATGCCGAATCTTGTCCCTCCAGTCTCAACGCTACAGGTACAGTACTTTTGCATCCTCCTCGTCCTCCTCGTCCTCCTCGTCTTATCATTTTTGTTTGATGTTTTTGCAGATGGCCAAAGAATACAAGAAGAGGATTCTCGCTGCAATCCCTCAAGGGACAGAGTTTGACCCTCTGATGACTTTGTATCTCACACATCAGACCACTCCTGAAGATATCAAACAGGTCACGTACCGTCTTAGCCCTCATTCTGCTTGTCCTTGTCCTTGTCTAGTCCCTTCACATCTTCACCCATATGAGTACCTGCCATGGGCTAGCTCTGGTTTGCAGTGCCTGATCTCATTTTCTGACCTTCCTTTCTGCTCTCTCTCTCTCTCCCTCCCTCTCGTCCTGTTGCTACCTTCCTCTACTCATGTCGTGCAGGCTGCGGCGGACGGAACGGTCACGGCGGTCAAGTGGTATCCGGCAGGAGCTACCACCAACTCGGGGGCAGGAGTGAAGGAAACAGAGCTAGAGAAAGTTCTTCCCACACTCAAGGCCATGGTCAGCCTGAATATCCCCTCTCCTCCGTCTCTTCGTCCCCCCTCCCTCCTCCTCCTCCTCCCTCCTCCTCCTGCTCTCTCCCACACATTCTCCACCTCTGCTTGTGTCGTTCTTGTCACGTCATGGCCTGCCTCCTCCTTCCTGCCTGGGTTGCTCTATTCACTGCAACTACAGGAGGAAGTCGGAATGCCTCTGCTATGTCACGGGGTACGAAAGTCTTGAGATGTAGGGGAAGAGGGACATGGAGCTTTGCTGCAGGAGAGCACGGACCCGACCGTCGACGTCTTCGATCGAGAGGCTACGTGGGTTCGCAATGTGTTGGCACCATTAGTAAGCGCGAGGAGGAGGAGGAGGAGGAGGAGGAGGAGGAGGAGGAGGAGGAGGAGAGAGCAGGAGAGATTGGAGTGAAGATGACTTGGAGGAGGGTTGATTGTCTACCAGGTGGACTTGTTGCCTAACCTCAAGATCGTCATGGAGCACATAACCACCAAAGGTTCTTCTCCCTCCCCTTCTCCTTATTGTTTTCCCTCCCTTTCCTGCCTGTCCCCTTCCTCCCTTCGCTCCCCTTCCCTCCCTCCCCTATCTCCCTTTCTCGTTCCCCTCCCCTGCTCTCCTTCGCTTATCCACAATGAGCAGAAGGTGTCGAGTTCGTCCAGAATGCCCGCAAAGGAGTTTGCGGCACGTTGACTGTGCAGCATCTCCTCCTCAATCGCAATGCTCTCTTTAGGTCAAGCACTGCTGGACCCCTTGAAAACGGTCGTGACGGATTATCAGCTATGGAGGAGCTGGAGGCTTGCGGCCACATCACTACTGTCTGCCGGTCCTAAAGCGAGAAGAACATCGCAAGGTCTCCATGTCCGTCCCCTTCCTCGTGATCCTCCTCACCTTCCTCGTGATCCTCCTCACCTTGTGCTTTCTTTCCTGCTCGTTTGATTCCATATCCTCTCCTCCTTTGCTCCGATCTCTCTCCCCTTCTCCTCTATACTTTCTCTTGGATCTATGACCCTCTCCTTCGCCGCAGGCGCTAGTCGCTGCTGCCACCTCCGGGTCCAGCAAGTTCTTTGCGGGGACTGACTCAGCCCCCCACACGGTGGACAAGAAGGAGGTGAGGCGCTTCCCTCGACTGTTGTCTCAAGTCACAAGGCTGCAGTGCTCGTGCGGTTGCGCTGGCTGCTTCACAGCCCCGGCAGCTCTCGAGCTCTACGCCCAGCTGTTCGAGGCGGAGGGAAAGCTTGAGAATGTAAGTGTGAGCAGCAAGTCACTCGACTAACTTTTGACGCCAGCTGGAGGGTTTCGTGAGCCATCATGGTGATTTTTCTTGTCTTGTCCTCTTTCTTGACGCATCAGGTCACAGGCGCTGACTTCTACGGCCTGCCTCGCAACTCGACCTCCGTATCACCTCACATCTCATGCTGACCTCCTGACCCTCCACAGGTGAAGCTCGAGAAGGCCACATGGACGATCCCAGCAGCAGTGGAGGTCGCAGGATCTTCACCTGTCGTCCCCTTCATGGCCGGGGAAGAAATTAGCTGGCGAGCTACTCGAGTATGAAGTCATGCACAAGCGTCGCGGAATCTTCCGACGTAAACAAGTTATTCAATTACCAAGATTCAAATTACATCAATCGCGTCGGCTTTCTGAGACAGCAGAAGCATCAGTTCTTGTTGTGCTTCCTATCATGCTTGAGATCGTTCCAGTGGTCCTGCAGATCATGTCATCTTCTCTCGACCTCCTCCTCCTCCTCATCCCTACCTGCAGCTGCTTAATAGATCTGTCAGTTTTCATTGCCGATTGGATGGAAATCCAGTCCTTGGTACCGTGCATCTGCAGGACGCGTCATGACGTATCCCCACCTCGGCTCATCGCACCCGCACTGCTTGCTTGAGCGCCTCATCCTCTGCTGGTTCCCATCGTCTCCACATTCTCTTTGCCTTTGCCTTGACCCCTCCCTCCGTTACGGCTGTTCCTTGTTTGCCTCCCTGGTGGAACTGAAGCTTTCGCTTGGCACCCTTTCCGTTCTCCACAGATGAAGTATTATCATCTAATAGAGCTGAAGTTTGTGCTGGAGACTTGGAGCCATTGGGCATGGCTCGCTCGTCTTTCTTTGCAAGAGCAGTAGCCGCCGAGATTCCGCCATCCAGCGTCACATCACTATCTTCAAGTTTCACTTGAGCCTGAGCATTGCCCATGAAGTTGCCTGCCTGCCATTGGAATCTTTCTTCTACTGCCAGAACAACCTGACTTGATTCGGACGACGAGTCGTATCGTTGCCCATTCTCATCGCTTCCCATGCCACCTGTACCACACTTTCATCTCAACAGTTTCCGGTCTAGGTAAGAGGCTGACCTGGCCTGTGCCACCACCAAGTTTTCTCCATAGGGCCGCTGATCGCGATGGAGGTTTCAGCGATATTCAATTGGGCAGGCGGTTTCTTGTTGGATTTAGCTGGTTCCTTGCTAGGGGCCAATAATCCCTCGGGTGATTCGAACGAAACGACTGCAGGCAGATCAGCGATATGCAAAGCGAGGAGAAAGATCTCGTAGGTACCTGCTTCATACGAAGACAGCTTCATGGCCTTCTCACAAGCTTGAGTCAAGGCTTTCTGATGATCTTCGAAGCAATAGATCTGCCATGTTCATCAATTCAGTTCTGTTAATGAATTCTTGCTCACCTGTATCTCATCTTTTTGTAAACCGAGATTTCTTTCGATATCCTGACATCAAGTAAACCAAGATATCATCCCATAAGCACTTTTAACAATCAACACCTACCTCCTTCTGTTCTTGCGAAAGCTCAACCTCATCAGAATTGGTACTGTTTGTAGGAGATGCTGTACCAGCCGAAGAGGTATCATCCCTGTCAGCCATACAATGAATTAAGTTAATCGGTATACACAAGTGTGTATCTACATGTGTTGATTATGAGTATCTTTCACAGATTGATAACGGAAACCGTTTGAAACTGTAAAGGAATCAATTCACATTCAAGATTTTACGGTGATGCACCTGCGTCATTTGCTGCTGTTTTCAGCCACTTGTCTCCTGGCTGTCGAACCCTCGAGTACTACGAATATTCAGACTCCATGCAACTACTTCAGACTATATTACCGGTTGCTGCACATGCTGTGGAGGAAGCTGAGCTGCGTAGGCGGCATTGCTTCCAGCTTGAAACATCAATGAGAAAATGGCATCAACGAACGAAACAACACAAACCTGGATCAACATATTTGCGCTTTCGCGGCATTGATTTTCCCTGTCAAAAAAGTTGAGAATTTTGAACATTATGCGACTCATGAAATTTTCAGGAAGCATACCTGTTTGACATGAATCCTTTGAAAATGCATTTTGCTATGATACAACCGATCGTTGAAATACTGTATCATGAAATTTACAAAGCAAGACGCCATCTTCTTGATTCATACCACACATCTGGTGCAATGATACCAGCGCTTTCTTCCGTCATGATATGTGAGAAGGCCTAGTGTCGCTTAGGAGCAAGGGAGAAAATCAAACAGCATCCACCTGCATGACAGGAAGGTTTCCAGGCCCAGGTGTCGCTGATTGGGGGACAAGTCATCTTAAAGAGCGGAATCAACGACCCCATAATTTCTCAACATTCGCCACCTCCTTGTTGGAGGTAGATCTTTTCTCAGCGCTGCCAGTGACGTCGTTTCCTCTACAAGACAATGAGCGGATCGGAAAAGGGATGAGGTCCAATAATACATTTCTGCGTTGGTTGAATCATCCATATTCACTTCCATTTTCATGGTTGACGACAGCGACTGCAGCAAAGCTGCCGCTTGGTTCATGTCATCAGGCTCCTCCTGAGTTTGAGTCGTGCCACGGATTTCTTTGACCCTTGGACCTTTGCAGATGTCAACACATCTCTGGCATGTAATGGTACTGGATTCCAAGACCTGATGGAAGTTTCTCTGGAGGTTGTGCGAAATCAATCTTAGGTTCATCTCCGGATTCAAGATCTTCAACCCAATTACTGACAACGGATTGTTGGAACGCACCTTACCGTCAGAGCTTCGCTGTCTGCTATCATTTTGATGCTCTTTCACGGACTTCACGGGAGCTCTCGAGCGATTCTTTTTTGTAGGAAAGAAATCTCCAATCGTCTTCTGATTTGTGTTTCGAGTGCTCCGCTTGTTTCCCACGACTTGCTCATCTCCTTGCGCCTTCGCCGGAAGTTTGCTTTCTTCATCGTCGTTTGCGCTTCTTTTATCCTTCTCTTTATTTCCAGCAGCCATGCTTGAAGACTGGTCACCCTAGGAATGATTAATGTTAACCATGAACAATACAAAACAGTTTGCGGAAGGATGTTTTAGGCACTGCCTCGATGACAGATTGTACGTGTCAAAATTGCATACAAGACGCTACATGACATTGGGTTTCGAGCTAACACAATTTCGGTACACGATTGTGGACGCAAAATAATCAAATACCCAGATCCATCTAATAGATACTTGTCACCAAGAGGGGCCACGCTACCAGCAAGTCAATCTTAGCCATGGCAAAGCAAATTGAAGAACGTTGGGGGAACAAACCACAACACAATTCAAAATCTCTGATAACACACACATGCAGTTCATCTTCCTTACGTACACCATCTGGCTGAACACCGCAGGGCTCATCAAATGCAAACTTGTCGAAAAATTGATATCGAGATCGTGCATAAAGCAAATGCACTAAAAATCTGCAGCATGCGGCCCGAGAAAACACTGCACACGTCTCGCTTCCATGCATGTCAAAGCATGATCTCTGCCACTAGACGGATATTCACACATTCCCACAAAATCAGTTCCGGTGTATCACCACCCATAACCTATCATACTCGCATGAAACACAATGCTACAGCAACGAAAAGACAGCAAAGATTCTCGAGTGTACAAAACTTGAGAGTGCACAGAGCAAGTTTGGTGCCTCCATCCTCAACTTCATCGACCCACACCCTTCCTATCCTTCTTCGCATCTCCATCGCGCGCCACCAGGCCCCTCCACCCCTACCCCTCCCGCACCCCCTCCACTTGTAACCCCACCAGTTGCCAGGCCAGTGTACCCTACCCACCTTTCTACACCTTCTCTCATTCAATCCCCACTACCCCCTCAAGGATAAAGGATTCACCCCCGCATCTCTCTTTCCTTTCGAAACGCTTCTATCAATATATTAAGACCACCCTGGAAGTCTACTACCCCCACCCCATCTGATATCTACACCCACCCCTCGAGTCGATCTGCCTATCACCACCTGAACCCACCGATCTTCCCTTGTCTCCAATCCTCATCACCCTACCCCTCAGTCAAATGCTGACCTTCCGCTACCCACACTCCCACCCCACCAATCAGCCATCACCCACCCACATACTTCAGCGTCTCTCACTGATCGGAATCACCCTACCCCAGAGTTGATCAAATACTCATGGACATAGACCCGGTGCAGATTTGATGATTGCACCCTACCCTATGTACTCAACCCCGCCATTGACGATGGACCCACCCTTTTAGTAGATCTATGTAGTAAAGAACCGTTGGTACCAGTGTTTGTTAAATCTTTTATAGCAAAACAGTAGCAAACGCAATGAGCTAAATGCATACAGTATTGATAATCAATATTAATTTATATATTAGATATAATACCTATTGCTTTCTTAGATTTATAAGTTGATTTTGATAATAATATTTAATAGTATTTTATATGAGAATACATCAATAGCTAATCCAGTTTCGCAATGGATGACAGGGTTTGGTGTGGGCGGACATGGCGCCCGCTGCTGCCGGAAGATCCTGTGCTTTCACAGCCATGGGAAGAACCGAATCCTCAAGATCCTCCCTTCCTAAAGGAATCGCCTCCCCCCTTCCTAGAAGATCGCCTCTTGTACCAGCTGCAGGAGGGAGTGAGGCGGATCGCGAAGATGGAGGCGGGGAGCGCTGAAGATGCACTGAAGCGGATGCTAAATGACTACATGGAGGCAATGAGGTCAAACCTGCAGGAGAAGGAGAGAGACTTTGTTTCGGAAAAGCGAAAGTCGTCAGGGATGGAGCTCGAGCTCCAAATGCAGAGCGAGATACTACAAGAAAAGGAGAAGGAGATTTCTCAACTGATTGCCTTGAACCAGAAACTCAACGAAAAGGTTGCACATTTGCAACATGAATGCGCTTCATGCAAGAGTCGTCTTGATTCATACTTGATTAAGAATTCGTCTCTTGAGAAGAATCTAATTGGGGTACAACAAGAGCTTGACCAAACAGTGGGAGAGAACGAAATTCTCAAGGATGAAATAGAAAATCTAAGAAGTCTGTTCAAGTCCAGCACTCAGGAATCTGCAATATTTGAGATGCAGTTAGAGGAGGAGGTGATAGAACTGCGGCAGAGGCTCTCCATCGTGATGAAACAAAGCAAACATGCCGAAGCGGAGGCAGAGAAATTCAACAAGTCAGCTTCGTTGCTGTTCCAAGACTGGCAAAAAGCAGAAGAGAGGAACATCATACTCAATAATCAAATTACAAGATTGAAAGATGTCATCTCAAGGCAGAGCCATGATCTCACGAAACTTGAAGAAGAACGATTCATACATAAAAATGTTGAGATGTCCAGCATCGCACTGCAGGAGCAAGCTCGTGCATACGAGGCCGGGCTTATGGATGAAAAACAGAGAGCTGATTTCCTGGAACGACAGAGTCAGGAGAGCGCGAAGATGCTTCGAGTCCTCAGCCAACAATTTGGAGATCTGTCGGCACAACACGACAGATTACTAAGCAAGTGCGAGGATTGTCACATATTCTTACGCATGCTGCTGCCTTCTCTCAGTCACATCTTGAAAGAGCTGAAGAGCATGCAGAGAGATTTGGAAGCGTACGAGTCGTACAATGCTGACGCGATGATCCGGGAAAGCCTTCTAGACTTTCTGAAGTACGAATGATGTTCTTTATGTTGTCGATTATGTTGTACATGCGAATAAAGTGAATGAAACTGTTGCATGCAGCGACTGCTTGCGTATCTTACAAGTCAGGTGAGTGGCTGGTTGTTGGTTGGTTGTGCGGCATAGGAAGGCTGAGGAGGTGAAGATGTTTTGGAATGTCATTTCAGATATTACTGTCTTTTACTTCCAGTAAGTCAGGATCTGAGGCAGACCTGTTTAAAACGTCGCATGTGTCCTTTCTTTTTCAGTCAATAAAGGGGGTTCCTGGCAAAGGAGAATCTCAGCTTGCAGAGACGAGAGGGGAGGGCGAGCAGAAGAGGAGGAGGAGCAGAGGAGAGGCTAGGCTCGTGGAGCGATGGAGACTTTAGCTGAGGATCTACCAGTCATCGTCGACTTCTCGGGTTGCCCTGATGCGACATGCGAGGACATGTTCCATGCTCTCAGAGCGCAGGATAAAATCACTGTCCTCCGGCTTGATGGATGCAAGAACATCACATGCGAGGACGTCCGAAGAGCCTTGCCACTTATTGGCGGACAGCTGGAAGAGCTGTCCATTGCACATTGCACGAACTTATCAGGCGACGAGCTCTCCGAGCTTTTCTGCAGTGAGTTTCCTCTGCTGCAGACTTTGAATGTCGGTGATGCGTCGCGTGCTGCTCGTCTGCTGATATTTGTCTAGGTGAGCGGATGTGAACAGTTCAGTCCCGGACATCTGGCGAAAATTGTTTTCTTCCGCAACATGAAGAATTTGTCTCAGATTCGAATTATGACAGGTTAATCACATCAACTGGACTTCATTCTCGTCCATGCAGTTTCTTGCCTCCACCTCCTCCTGCTTCCAGCTTTTCACTTCCCTCTCAAAAGTCTCCTGTAAGTTTTGATCAGAGCCCTTCAGTCTCTCCATGGACGCAAACCTGGTCCATTCCTAAGGAGGCAAAGAAGTACTCGTCTCCAGCAGTATCGTTGTTGAACTAGAGGGTCGAACCATCACGCGAGTAAAATGCAAGATAAGACAACCTTGTGGTCGAGGAACACGCTGTACATCTGCTTCACCTCAGGCTCTCCAGGATGAAGCCGCAAGGCTAGTTCGAACATCTTCAAATTTGTGAGGTCGTCTACATTGAGGGAGGGAGCGAGGGAAGATGGAGGGAGGCATGAAATTACCTTATCAGCTGTTTCAGTATCGTTGTTGACGAAGCTTGCGATGGCATAGTTCACCATCAGGTCTGGTGTGTTCGGTTCGATCTCCAGCGCTTCCCTGCCATTGAGGAATGAGTGTTGTCCTGACACGCCTCGCACACCTCGACCTGTAGTAGGAGATGGCTTGCGTGTCGTTGAACAAGAACGCACGGGAGATGAGGCCCAACCTGACGCCACGTCATCCATTCCTCCGTTCTCGCTGACAAGCGCGACATCACCCTTGAAGAGCTTCGACGTTGGTGGGATCGAGAAGATGTGCACGCGAAAAGAGCCCGTTGACAAGCTCGACATCGTCCATGGTCCCGAGGAGCACACAATGTCGAAGCTTGAGACTGTACAGAAAGCTTGCTAGGCCTGATATGATCTGTGACAGGACGAGGCTCATTCCCGCCTCTCACCTGACAAAGCGTAGGAATTGTTGGGGAACATTTTAACCTGTCAAAAGTGTGAGGTGAGGTATCAGGGGGGAGGGGATCACAGCTTCAGCGAAGTGTCTCTCGATGATCGGGACATCCGCTCGGGCTGTCTGTGCAAACGCTCAGACCAGAGGCATCCTCAAGCTCCAAGATCACCTGCAAGAGGAACCTCGGGAATTCGACAAGCGCTCTCTCATACGAGTCATGCACCGACAGACTCTTGCGGAAACAAATCTCTGCTTCCTCCTCCTCCTCAAGGTACCAGTGGAGCTCTGCAAGAAGGCAAAGGAGTTCGCAGCTTTTCTCGCAAAGTTCACTCGCGTGCTGCAGGGCCTTCAGAGCTGCTCTCGCTCTGCTTGTGAAGTCTTCGTCACGAATCTCTCTGCTCAAGAAGCGCACGTTGAGCTCCGGAAGGAGACGGTGGTAGAAGCTTAAGGCCGTGTCAGGGTCAGACAAGCGGAGATGCGTTGTGTTGATGAGTCTTGCTAGATGAGGAGGGAGGGAATACGAAGACGACGTGAGGAGCAGAAGTTCGTGAACTGCATCTTGACTCTTCGGGTTCACTTCCAACACCTTCCCACTCCACGTCAGAGACCCATCAAGCATGTGCGACCTCTCACTCTCTCGAAGACTGAAATCACTTGTTTTACATCTGTTGTATCTGAAGGCCGCAGTCAATCATAGGGAACATCATTCTTGAAGTCAGACGTACTGAGGTCCTTCAATAGCATGCCATAGTGTAGGAGAAAGATGTCGTTGTCCTTCCATTGCTCAAAGCATTGCGACATGTAGCTCAGAGCCTCTTGTTTACATCCCGAAATCTTTCACACTGCTCAGCCCCAAAAGGAAGAAAACCTAGTTCACCTGAAGGAAAGAAAGAAATTCGATCGTGAGAGCGAAGTTGGTTGCCAGGTGAGGTGAGAGCTGTTTGTACACGCGTTGAGCAGCCTGATAATCTCTTTCCATCACACGTGCTGCCGCCAATCCTCGTAAAGAAGTTGTCGAGGATGGACAGAGAGCGAGTGCCTGGAACAGTCGATGAGATTCGCAGAAGGATCCAAGTTGAACTCACTTTTTCAAAATACGTCACAGCAAGTTTGGAATTCTCAAAGACTCGAGCATCAGCGACTCTGACTTGATGGTCAGAGGATCAATCATTGCAGAGAAGGCGAAGGAAGAATCATCTCTGATCTAAGTGGAGGAACTCACTGCTCGTCAGGTGCCGTAAAGATCCAGTCTCGGCGATGCTTCTCTTCGAAAGTCAAGTACTTGGTCGATAACAAAATGAAATCGTTGCTTGCTGTCATCGGCTTCCAATCATACTCTTCGATGCGAGCGTAACACTCGAGGATAGAAAATTCACCACAATTGTTAGCGGCATCAACATTGTTTGGGTCGAGCAGTAGTGCTTGCTTCGCAAGGTACATGCTCTTTTCCACATCTCCTTGCACCTCGAGAGTGATTCTTGATAGAAGGTTGAGAGAGCCAATGTGATTGGGGTCGATCTGAAGGTGAAGTCAACGAGAGGGAGAAAGAGAGGAAGGCGACACCTGCAGCACGCGTTCAAGCTGCCGCATGACGCCGGCGCTCTCTATGCTTCGGTTGGCCCACTGCAGTCGAGCCATGGCAAAGAGAGAAGGCGCATGGTCTGGCTGATCCTGCAACGCCTTCTCGTACATGAGCAGAGCACTGGCTGGGTCCTTGCGGAAGTCTTCGAGCAGCCCCGCGTAGTTGTAGAGCGTGTTGGCGTCGTTGGGCTTAAGTGCCAGAGCTCGCATGTACATCACTTCGGCCTCAACGTAATCATGCAGAGCAGATTCCAGGAGACCACCATAGTTGCAGAGCGTCAGGTGATGTTGAGGGTTGATCTTGAGAATGCGAGAGTACATCTCGGCTGCGTTTGCCGGCTGCTTTAAAGAAGTTTCGAGCATGAGGCCGTAGTTGAATAAAGATGCGACGTGCTTCGGATTCCTTGAAAGTGCTTTCTCATAAACTGCGGCAGCTTCGTCATGGCGATGCAGGTCCTCAAGCAGCGCAGCGTAGGTACAAAGACTTTCTGCCGTTAGTTTGCGCTTGTACTCGCTGCGTTCATCAGCCTCTAGAGAGGCTTGATAGTAAAGTTGTGACCTGGTGAGATCTTTCTCCTTGGTCAGAGAAAGAATCGCCATCTGTTCGAGCACGCGAACATTGTGAGGATCCAAGTCGAGAACTCGGAGGAAAATCTGTTTGACCTGCGCATCATCTCCTCCCATCTCCTGCAACAATCTCCCGTAGTTTGACAGAGTCGGAACATGATTTGGCTCTTGACCGATTGCAAGTTTGTACAGTGCCAGTGCTCTTGTGATATTCCTCTTTTGCACGTAAAGGTAATTCGCAAAGTTCAACATCGTCTCGAAGTTCATCGGGTCAGAAGCTAACGCTCTCTCATACGCGATCTCGGCTAGACCTTCTCTCTCTTCACCCTTCTCTCTCTTTCTCAGAGCATCTGCTACTTGATTCTTCTTCCATGACAGAGTTTGATCCCAGGAAGTTTCGGCTTGATGCAAATTGACTTCATCGTCAGGTTCCTCCTCCTCTCCATCGTAGTACTGATCGAAGTTAAACTCCGGCTCGTGCCGAGGAGGATCGTCCCAGTCTTCTGCCCCCCAGTTCCAGTCTTCTCGATCCCTCTGGAATCTTTGCAAGTCTTCAAGTTCCGGCGAAAGAGATTCTCGCTCCTCCTCCTCTACGACTTTCCTTGGGAGTCGAACAAAGTCATCGGCGTCATTGCCCCCCTGGACGTCTCTTGCCGCATACTCGCTTCCCGTGGGGTCTCTCAACTTAGCCTGCGAGCTGAAGAGAATCTGATCCACTTGTCTTATATCTTCCTTCTTCGATCTCGGCGTGTCTGAGAGTCCGCTGGTTGCATCGGACGTGCGCGGAGTGGAAATCCGAGAAAGAATCTGGTCGATGTGGTCCCTTCGCAGACCAGTCAAAGACAACAAGAGCATGAGGATTGCTTACAGGGTTTGGTTGGTCGTCCATTGCCAGGAATCCCTGCAAACATGGGTGTTGAGAGACGAAGCAGCAAGCGAAGTCAAATACATCTCATTCTTGATCTGTAGAAAACTTGACTCCGGTGATTTGTCCGTCGTCGTTCGGGTTGGAGACACCTAGGTATACGCATCACTCATGGAAGGCGTGGCAGTTGCAGACCAGGCGCTTTGCTACCAAATTCTTCTTCGCTCCTCTTCTCTTGACCTTGCGACGACTCGAACTTCGTTTGAGATCATACTTTGAGACTCCATCAAAATCTTTCCTGGCCCATCTCTCTTCTATTTCAAGAGGAGACTCCCTGGCAATGCCATCTTCTCCTCCTCGCAGTCTGCATCCAACAAGGCGATTCTGTGACAAGTTTTCATTTCCGGGATCGACCTGCAAGAGGATGAGGGAAAGTGGACAAGGGGATCGCAGTACATGAGGGTCGACGAGGGAAGCTGACACGAGGGCAGTCAAGAGCAAGTGCCACCACCGCATGTTGCATCTTGTCAAGGATCTCCTTCTCCTCCCCCTCCTCCTCTCATGGCAAGCAGCGGCATGGAGGGAAACTTGGAAACTGCATGAACCTCTCCATGAAACCTCGAGTTTAACTTAGGCGTAAGAGGGGGGATGAGGGGGACATTATGGAGCAGGCGGATCCCATGTACCGGGGCAATAGGTAACATGGACGCAAGCTGCTCAGGACGTCATGAAGGGAAGAGATCAGCGTTCAGCTCTCGCTCGCTTCTTGTTGAGCATAGCCATGCTTCAGAATGCTACGTGCTCCTTTGCCCCGGGAAACCCACCCATCGCTTCTTCTCATATCCTGCTGGTTCGCCATGCACAAAGGTATAACCTTTGATTTGCGGTAACGAGCTCTGATCTTCTTCGCGGTTTAGAATAGACTTTGTCGAACGTGACTGGAGCAGAGATGCGGCGAACCCGTTCGATCCTTATCTGACCGTGGTAACAGCAACGCAATGTCGCTCTAATGACCAATTGAGCTGGTTCGTAGGAGGGCAAAGCTGAGGCTACAAAGCTAGGTTTACACTTGCAGGACAGCGGGATTACCAACGTCATTTCCTCGCCCTTTATTCGAGCTGTCTACACTGCCCAGTACGCTGCAACAAGGATTGAGCAATTGTTTGTAGATGACAAGCTACCTTGATAAGAACGCTCTAACCGGCAGTGACAGGTTCAATATTGACGTAGAGCCAGGCGTCGGAGAGTTTCTTCATCGTAGCTTCTTTCCTGAGGCGATGGACATTAATTCTTTCTGGTCAACATCTCAAACCTTGAAGCCGATCTGCGCATTCATCAACGAGAAGTACAACCCGATCCTGACTCCAAACTTTCCAGAGAGCATCCAAGAGGTGTTCGAATGGAATTGTGTTTCTCAGCGCTAAAAATTGTTGCAGTTCAGACAACGATGCACACATGTGCTTGAGAGAATCATCGAGCGGTATAAGGGGTCGAAAGTGATGATAGTGACGCACGCATTTTTCATCGAGGTAGCGCTGAAACATCTACTCCCAGACCTCCATGTTCCTGAAATCCTCGAGTGTTCCATCACAGAGATTGTTCAGGATGAAAGGACGGGCATGTGGAGCATTGCTCGTCTTGGCGATAGAACCTACCTCGACGAGGAATACGATGATTTCGACTCGGTCTTCGACGAGGTGGATCCTTCCGCTTTGCATCCTGATTAGCACAAACCGTAGTCTTCAATTATCATCTATTCGCAATCATTCTTGAACAGAAAAGTCCTCCAATAAATTGGACATTGTTTGATGTTACAAGCCAAGAGCTAAGATTGAGCAAATTTAGCTTGCACATTTGATCGAGCACATTACTCCATTTGGTACTAGAAATTTATGGAGTTCAAAAAATAAGAGGAAAGGAGTGTTCTATCATGCATATAGTAAATATTGGAAAATTGTTTTCGGCAGACAAGTTAGATCACTAGTAGTGTTCAGGGTAACCATCCCATGCGCCAGAGTTGAACATAGGTTGACTTTCGTTGCCAAAAGTGCCCTTTGCACTGAAACAGAATCAACCACAAGATGAGCGGTGGCAACGACAAGACAGTGATGGTAATGAAAGGATATTGATGAGGTCAGGTCACCTCATCTTGTCGAGTTCTTCTGAACTTGGGTCAGGGGTGATAGTCGTTCCCAACACACCATTCGCATTTCTTCGATCCATCCATTCCTACGGAAAAGAATAAAATGATTCTGTCTTGTTTTGCAAAAAGTGTATACAGTTGATTTTGGTGAAGGAAATGGCGACTCATATAACATACTAGCAAGAAACCTGAAGGTAGACAAGTCAATCAAGAAGCGTCGTTATTTCAACCCCTTGTTTGCAAACACCCGGCTCCCGTTCTCTTTACACGAAACAAGATCTCCAAGGTGGGAATATGAAGTTGAACAAACTGACTCCATCGTCTTCAAGTTCCCGCCACACCATCACTCACTCATCCGATCCTCAACCATGATCCTCACCTCAATTCCGCAAATACCATTGCCCACGTCTGAACAACTCGCATGGGGGTAGGGTGCGATGCTAGAGCACATCTAAGGGAAACGGTGGGGTATCGTGTACTTAGAAGTGGGGTGACTAAGGGTGGGGTGGTGGGGTGAGGTATTCAGGGTGGATTACTGAAAGAGGTGGGGAGTATTCCAGCCGACGGCATGAAGGCAGCGAAGGGAGCACTGGAGGGAGCGGGACGAGGCTTGGCGAGAGGACTGAGGATGTTCAACTACTCCATGGCATCAGCCAAAAGTCTCGCCTACACTCCTGCTCAATTGAGTTGCTCTCCAGCGCCCTCTGCCCGGTTCATCTTTCCTGCCTGCAGTTTGACAAGTCGTCCTCATCCCGCTTGCATGCCCCGATTACTTCATCCGTGTGCTGGTGTTTTCGGCAGTGCATGTAGATCTTTCAGCAATCAAAGCGATTTGGATCTCAATTGTAAACTTCAAGACATTGATGAGCTTTTCGTTGAGGCACGTGAGTTGTTGTCAGACGCGCTAGATTCGTTCGGAACCACCTACTTCGAAGACGATCTTGATGTGAGCGTTTGCTCTCCTGATGCTGCCTGCATGGACAAGATTTGTTGCCAGCCTTTATACTCTCGTCACGGGTTGTTGACTCTGACTCTCATTGCAGGATGCGCGGGAGATGGTGGACAAGTGTCTCACTACCTACACAGCGTTGCTGGCAGAGTTGCCCGAGGAACAGCGCAATGCTGTGAAGAGAGGGATGGGAATGAAGATGGAGCAGCTGAAACAAGAGTTGCAGAGCGTTCTTGAAATGCTGACCCAGGACAAGGAGCCAGAAGGACGTAAAGAGGACTGAACTTAATTGAAAGAAAATGCGAGATGCGTTTGAAACATGTTACATGTAGCTATCATGCCATTTATCTACACGATCTCGTCTCCCCTTTGTGGTCAGATTCTTTGCTTCACTCTGATTTTGGCATCTCAAATCGTAGTCGGGTTCTCGACATCCGATCGTTCCACGAAGGTTCGTATCCATTAAACCAGCTGCTGGAGGACACTCACTCAGTTCATGATCTGAGTTATCATGTCAGCATGCATGTTTACAGGCCCGAGTCATCCAGACCCTTCCTCAAGTCATCCAGACCCTTCCTCTCCCCGGCCCAGTTTGCTGCCTCCTCCTCCCGCACCCCCCCGCCCCCCTTCGGCTCCCCTCATCCCCGCAATGAGGGGGGCCGGAAAGCGAAGGCTGCTGGAAAGCTGCTGCTTTCCAAGTTCGCTGCTGTCGCTGCTGCTTTCGGCTGGTACATGGCCTCGTAGCCTGGACATCTCACCTTGTGATCGCATGGCCCCTGCCTTGTGCATGTTGGAGCTGCCTCCCAATCACACCGACCTTCATCATGCTCACAAGATTCTCCTTTCGTGCCAACTTCAGTCGTAGAGCTTCGCCTCTTTGCTGCTTGCTCCGAGCCTCGTTCTACATCCTCTGCTTCACCTCTCCTGTGCAAGGAGGCTCTGAGTTGCTCCACCTCCAACCAGCCTTCTCCCTTCGTGGAGGCCAGCATTCCTTCTTTTCAAGCCATCAAGATTGTGTTATGACGGAAGCGGCCAGCACGATCTTCTACGAAAACTTTGACTTCGGAACCAACACTTTCAGGATCAAGCAAGACACATCGACGGGTCATGCTGCTGTTCTCTGGGATGCTGCAAAGGTTGGAGACACATGCACTGCCTTGAGCTGACTTTTATCAGGTGCTGGTCAAGTACTTCGAGGTAAGCGGCATCGAATGGAAGGATAAGCGCGTGCTTGACCTGGGATCGGGCTGCGGCCTCGTGGGCATTTGTTTAGCATCAGCAGGAGCACATGTCACGATGACAGAGCTGCCTGGGCATACAAGCTTGCTGCAAGAGAACGTGGAGAACAACCTCAAGGCTCACTGCCCGGGCTCGTGGCAGGTTCAAGAGTGCGTGTGGGGTAGCCCAGGAGAGACAACGGACTGGGGGAACGTGACGGACATGGGGCAAGGATGGGACTTCATCGTCGGATCAGACCTCATCTACTCAGACGCTAGCACCCCTCACCTGCTAAAGACCCTCCAACACAGCATGGACGACAAGACAAGTTTCGTGCTAAGCTTTGAGCTGCGACGGGAGAAGGATTTGGTAGGAGCACGAGCCTAGTGATCTGTACCCTCACTGAAGTTCTCAGGACTTTCTGCGAAATATCTCCAAGTGTGGCTTAGCATTCCAGAAGATTCCCGAGAAGGAGCTGCATCCGGTAAGCGTTGGCATTTTTTACAATCTAGTTTAAACATGCACATAGGTGTGGCAAGCAGAGGAGATTGGAATCTTCAAGATATGGAAGAAGTCCTGAAGTCATCCTGGCCTCGAATCTGCTGATTCTCCTTTCCTGGCCACATTTTATTGGTCCGATTTCTTGCCTTTGAGGAATTTCTTTGCGCTCTCAGGAAGAAACTTCGACTTTGACTGGCCCTACTTGACGTCAGAGATCGTTTCATATCAAAGCGACAAACCTGTGGTAGTTCAGCAATCATGCCAAACAATGCTTGTATCTCGTCGCGTCCTTGCTCGATCCTCGTGGCAATACCACCAACCTTGTTAATAGTGATCAGCTCCAAAGCATGTTCGCGTGCGCCGTCACCTCACTCTCGACTTGCGATATCTTCTGGTTGAGCTCGGCAAGTGGCCCTTGCCTTTCCGCCTGCTAGCTTTTTCAGCAAGTCTACGCGGGCAAGGCAACTCGCCAGTAGAGCAGCATTGAGCTGTTTTTCTATGTCCTCCCGCAGTTCCATTAGAGCATGGCGGGGAGCGCTCTAAAAGCACAAGGGCGATGAATCATTTTGTCCATGAGCCACCAATGACATCACCTGCTCTTCCAGGATACCAAACATCGCTTTGCAATTCTCAGCCACCTTGAAGACATCAGCCCACAGAATGTGCAGGTAACGAGAGTCACTCTCGAGTCGTGACGACGAAGCATATCTTCCATGCACCTCTGCCAGAACTTGAGGACGATGAGGAGCAATCCACGTTTACCATTTGAATCTCACTGTCAGCGGTCAGCCGCGAGATGGCGTCATGCAATTCGGTGATCTTAGCTTGCACTGCATTGAAAGGATAAGAAGAGCAAGAGAGGCAGATGCCAGGGATAGCGAGTGAAGCTGATATTAATGACATGAACAGTTGACCTGTATCAATTTCTTCTTTGGAATTGAGGGTAGCATCAAGCATCTTGGAGTCACGTCAAACTTCATAAACAAGATTCAGCATCACCTTGGCTCGGAGTGCCTCTAGGGCTGACGCTTGCTCAGCAATCTGGACATCAAGCTGAAACAAACATGAGAGGACAATACCAATAGAAAGACAACCACCGCGCTCTTCATTTCTTTTGTGATACATGTCGCCTGAAAACTAATCAGAACCTCTTCGGAACATACAACGTACAAACACAGATTCAAAACACTCATGCTTTGCCTTTGCTATCTCAGCACAATTAGCCTGTTTTGTTGCATCGCAAAAATGTGTCAATTTTCAAAAACTGCAATTGCAAATTTTGTGCATACCAGGGAAGAGTCGCGAAATTTCTTGTCTATCTTCTTTTCGAGAGCTTGTAAATTCTCGTCACTCTGACCTGGCGGAGTGAAAGAGGCTGATCTGGCAGGTTCTGTTTCTCTTTCTGTGTCTCGTCTACCCATCTTGGCGCTCACCTCTGACATTCTCTCTTCCATGTTTCTTACTCGATCCAGCACAAGCTTGAGCTCTCGTCGCTGAGCATCTTTGGTTGCACTCACAACTTCCATGAGCTCCTGCTTGATCGTTTGCCGCTGCTCTGCAAGCCGCCGCTCAAAGCTGATTTCCTGGACCTTACTGCGAAGCCGTTGCACGCGCTCCTGGTGGCTTGCTAGTCCGCGAAAGAGCTTAAACTCATCCTGGAAAGGCTGAACTCGCTCCTCTGCCTTCTTCTTGGCTGCTTCAAGCTCGCTGTCGAAGTCATCCACGCTAGCGTACTTGTTTCCTGCTTGCACTTTGTCTTGGATGGGCTTATAGCTCTCTTCCCATGCCATCTCAAACACTGCAACAAGAGCTCGCCAATTCTCTTTCACCAACTCAGCTGCCCTGCCATCCACCACTTCGTTTACTTTCACCAGACGAACTCCTCCCTCGCTCACTTCCACCACTGATGCAAGATCCACACCATCCGTCGGCGTTTTCCATCGACAAAGCGCTACCTCCAGCGCAGCTCGTTGTTCCTGCAAACCTCCCTGCTCTGCTCCTTGTGAATGACTATCAAAGGCTGCGTACGCTGCCTGCATGGCAGATGCATGAGCTGCAACTATCTCTCGCATGCCCATGGGCATGAGCTTTCTCAGCCGCTCCTCCTGCTCGCCGTAAGCGGCCAAGCCGGCAGCGAGCGCGTCCTGACCTACCGGCTCGGCCATCGCTCAAAGGCTGGAAAAAGAAGAGGCGTAAAGGGGGTTTAGGCTGAGTTTCAGATTTCAGACCGGCAAGGAGGGGGGGGGGGGGGGGGGGGGGGGGGAGACGAGGAGGGCGGGATGGAAGAGGTAGGCTCGACATTAGAGAGGCTCTGAGTGATGGGTTTGAGAGAAAGCAGAGCAGAGCGAAGGTTGTTATGATCTTGTTGAAGCAGTCGTAGAAGCAGTCGGTGTGATGAATTACTGATAGCCTCGTCGCAGGTTGCCTGAGGCATGCTCACTCCAGCAGATGATGAGAAGAAGTAATAATCCATGGCTGCCAAGGTTGTTCCCCCTTTCAGGTTCGCCATCGTCGAGGTCGGAGTGTACCGAGGAGCATATCCCACGCTCAAGAACTTTGCTTTCCTCAAGAGCCTCCACCTCAAGACCATGATCTCGCTGATCCCTGAGACTCCGACAAACGATCTGGAGGACTTCTGCGCGATGGAAGGCATTCAGCACATTCATCACATGGGTGAGAGGCCTCACGTTGCTCATCTCTCTGATCTTGCGTACGAGCAGTGGAGAAGCGAAAGGACGACTTGACGATCACAGTGAAAGATGTTGTCAGTATCCTCTCAACCATTGTTAGGTCGTCACAGCTGCCCATCTATGTGCATTGCCTTGATGGGTCCGAAGTTACTGGATTGGTCTTTGCTTGCCTTCGCCGCTTGCAAGCATGGCACTATGAATGCATTGTGAACGAATTTTGTCGCTATGCGCGCTCAGGAGAGATTTCATCGGCAGGTGTGTAGCAGTGGATAATATGGGGATGCCGTCAGCCAGTGAATGATTGATGTAGAGGAGAAACTTGTTTATTCCTTCAAGGAGATAGAGATTGATGAAGACGATCGACCGAACTGGTTGTGGCAGGTTATCTGTGCTTGTCCACTTGTCTGAGTTCAAAAGGCTCAAATGACGGCACAGAGAGATTTGCTTGGAAACGGGCAGGGACATCCCTTCATCAAGTTGATCCAACGGCAGGGAGGAGTCGTGCAGGTGACGCGCCTCCTCTGAGGCCTCGAGCTCAGCTTGTTCCTCTCAGGTGTTGAAACCTGCGCCGGAGGAAAAGGAAACAAAACAGGAAATCATCATTATCCTCAGAATTTGTAAAATGACAGATGCTGCAGGGAGGGAGTATAAGTGCAACAAACATACTCAAGCGATCGGCTACATTCTCCGGAAATGATCAAAATGATTTTGATGTACCATTTTCTCTCGGCAATGTCATGTCAGCTTGACACTTTGATATCAGTCTAACTTGTCGAGCACTTCTGAGAGCATCTTAACACCGAGAGAATCTTTCTCTCAGAGCAGGTGAGAATACTTTTGTTTACCTGCACTTAGCTCGAAGACTGATGTTTTTTCATCAGCTTTTACAATTTCGAGGACAACAGGTTGAATCCTGTACAGGTCGTTTCCTTGCTTCCTTCTGGCGACTGTGACTCAGAGGACTGCAGAGTCGTACGGAACCATGTGAAGGTTTCCCAACTCTGTTGGAGGTTTGCATATCCATCTTCTCTCTCGAGTTCTTTGACACAGCCTTTCAGGCTCTTTCTTTGCACGATTATTCTGATTTCAAGCGGGCTAAACCAAAAAAATGATTCACATGCCACAAGAGTTGACCTGTATGCTATTGAGCTTTGCTTCAAGGGATATTTGTAGAAGTATTGCCGTGATAAGATGAAATTTGAGCTCTGATCACGACTTGCTAGTAATAATGTCTGAATGTTGATTTCCATGCGCGTCATCTGCATTGAGTGCGACTGAACAAAGATCAGCAATCTAACGTACCCCAAGATGCAAAATGAAAGTAGCCTCGCCCTCGCATCACAATGTTTCTGCCAGCATCCCCTCAGAAGTAGACCGTCCTCTACCCCTCCTGGCACTCCTGCCCGGCGCGTCAACCGTCTTCATCACGGTCAAGCAGTAGCCTCGCCCTCGCATCACACTCTGCCGGTCCCAAGTCTCCGAGCCCCCGTATCACTCGTCAGTCTCGTCCTTCTGCTGCTCGGCGCCTCTCGTGACAGCCTCCGCTTGCTTCAAGGCCCTGTAGCTGCCGACATCGTGCACCGAGTACAAGACCAAGCTCGTATCATACGCCCGCCCTACCTCCCGTAGGATCCGACTGTATTCAATCCGGAGTCCTTTGTTCCGATCCCTTCAACCTGTCGTTTTCGAGCAGTGAAGCTTCTAGTTCGCTCCTTGCGTCTGCATCTGCTCAATCATTCACAGGTCTTCTGTTGATTGAACAGGTTTACACATCTTGTGCACATACACTGTGAGATACCTTGCAGGGATCCGATTGACCGGGCATGACGAGCAAAGGACAAATGAGGCCCTTGAGGGGTGAACCACAAGCTCCCTTCACTGTGGGCAAGACGAAAGTGGGAAAGACCGAAACATGCCAAGCATGCCACAAACTTGGGGAGAAGCTGCCGGTTTCTTTTCAGTATTGACCATCCACTACCCTGTCAGCTACCCTGTCGGCTGGTAGGGCTCAGGACCAACAGTGAGGGTGGGGTACTCGCGCCATGCGGAAACTGGTTGCCTTGCTTGTGCCCCTGGTCGCCGTCGCCACGACCTTGGACGGGCCTGCCTGTCTGAGCGAAGCTTCAGAGGCAGCTGCAAGTGCAAGAGACCGATCGATGAGATGCCTCCGCCGAGCACAGAAGGTGCTGCAAACTGATGCCGTGGACGAGGACGTCTGTATTGTCGCGATGGAGATACGGAGATGTGAGATGGAGCTGGAGAAGCTGAAGCATGAGAAGGACATGAAGAGGAGGAGGCTTGAGAAGAAGTTGCTGAAGATGAGGCATCAGTGGGACAAGGAAAAACGGGTCGTTAACTACTACAGGTGGCGGCTATCCTCCGCCACCCAAAGGTGAATGTCTTTTCAAGTCTACGAGCGCCTCCTGCTGACGGATCTACTGCCGCAGAAATGTGCTGGAGTGTCTGTTGAGCGAAGCCGTTGACATGGCGGCGAGCAGGAAGAAGGAGATCAAGTCTGTGCTGGAGGCATTACCTGCGAAGGAAGTGAAGGAGATGCGGGAGGGGATGCTATCCCTGGTTGTGATGTACCAGCATCTCGTCAACAACGAAGAGCTTCGACGGGCCGTGTTGGGGGAGATCGGCATACCCGAAGATGTCGTCATGCCTCAGCTCCGCGGCTCCGAGCATGTGCATGGACCTGTGCTGGAGTATGTGAAGCATTACCGTGCATCAGCGGGGAGGAGGGAAGTGTTTGTATGCAAACAAGCATGCAGGGAAGAGATCAGGTTCTTCCGGGAGGTAGGGCGGGCGTATGATACGAGCTTGGTCTTGTACTCGGTGCACGATGTCGGCAGCTACAGGGCCTTGAAGCAAGCGGAGGCTGTCATGAGCGGTGCCGAGCAGCAGAAGGACGAGACTGACGAGTGATACGGGGGCTCGGAGACTTGGGACCGGCAGAGTGTGATGCGAGGGCGAGGCTACTGCTTGACCGTGATGAAGACGGTTGACGTGCCGGGCAGGAGTGCCAGGAGGGGTAGAGGACGGTCTACTTCTGAGGGGATGCTGGCAGAAACATTGTGATGCGAGGGCGAGGCTACTTTCATTCGGCATTTTTAGCATCAGATTCAGCATGACTTGATGAGGGGGGGTATTGGGCTTACCTAACCTTGACCTTGACCTTAGGTTTGAATATGTCTACCGTTTTAGGTAGAATTAATGAAATGATGTTGAAAGCTGCAAAAGCCTGGCTAGATCGATCAATATCAATCATTGAGGGCTCTGTCAACACCCAATGGTCAATACTGTTCAGTATTCTTGAGCTTGATGAAGCATTGTTCAGTGGGATGTACTTGAATACTTTGCAGAAGATGTTGGATAAGGTCGAGTTGAAGTTCGAGTCCCAGTCCACTCTTTCTAAGGTGGTTGTGCACATCGATCACAGATGCTCCGTGCTTGTCTTGTGTAGACGACAAGCACGTCAACGGATTGTCTTTTGCCACGTTTGAAAGATTTGTACGGTAGGGAAAAGATGACAGTACCCGTTCGCAAGTGCATATGACAGTGGCCGTATTGTCGTTTGTAGGTAGTAAACAAAGTATGAATCAGCGTTCCTAAACATTCGCAAGTGCAGCTCTATGTGAAAAAGCGAGAATCATGTGTTGGGGGACACAGATCAGGACTACAAGTCACGTAAACGTTTGGGCTAACTGATAACAATGATTCGGTGCGTGCTTGTTTGCATACAAGCAACCTCTTCATTTGGAGATAGTAGGATGTGTCAGAGCATGGGAAACTAATTTCATTCAGAAAGAAATCATTGAGATGCAACATGCCTCCAGCTTCTCTTATCATACTTCCGTAAGCCGAGATCAGAGTCACTAGTAGTAATCCGAGACTGCAAAGACAAGGTTGATTCTGCCCTTTCGTTCCGAAAGTTTTCCTAGGACTCTTGACACTCGATCATTTTGCTCGGTTTGTCGAAGAAGTCCCCAGGCATATCTTTTCCACAGCCTGAGAACCTGAGTCTGACGTCCTTACGGTTCATGATAGTAAGCAATATCCTTGTTCAAAGCCTCTCCGTACTCTTTGAAGAATTTTGCATTATCCTGATTCACAGCTTGTGATCCTTCGCAGACAAACAGTTGTGGGAGTCCTCTCAGCTGTGAATAATGTACGTTGTCACTGAGATACGCAAAAGCTGACGACTGACTTCCATTCTCGTACCGAGGCATCATCAGATTTGACGAGATCCCAATCTCTTTGAAAATTGCCCGTCTTAAGTGGTTGTAATTGACGAGGACTCGATTCATGAAAGTCATTGGGGGATTTCCTGCGTTGATACGTCTAGCATGGTTTGCAGGTAATTTCTCCACCAATGATCGGATCTGCTTGTCCTGACTCTCACGGATCATGTAGGTTGCTTTTCTGAACAAGCACTCTGGCACTTGTCTGCGGTAGTAGATCCGTCAGCAACAGGCGCTCGTAGAAAAGACATTCATCGTTGGGTGAGGAAAGATAGCTCCTGCCTGTAGCAGTTGACGACCCGTTTTTCCTTATCCCTCTCATCCTCAGCAACTTCTTCTCAAGTCTTCTCATCTTCATGTCCTTGTCATTCCTCAGCTTCTCCATCTCCATCTCACATTTCCGTAGTTCCCGAGCAATACCAAGTACCTTCTCACTTTGCTTGTTATTTCTTGGCAAGATTTCTCTTGCTCTGACGATATGTTTTGCAAGTAAGCTGCTGTTCGCTGGACAGACTTAACCTGGATGCTGCTCGAGCACCTCGAAGGCGCGATCAAGGCGGTAGGGATGGTGAGCAGGGGAAAGAGGAGGAGGAGGAGGCACCGCGAAGGCGATCAAGGCGGTAGGGATGGTGAGCAGGGGAAAGAGGAGGAGGAGGAGGCACCGCGAAGGCGATCAAGGCGGTAGGGATGGTGAGCAGGGGAAAGAGGAGGAGGAGGAGGCACCGCGAAGGCGATCAAGGCGGTAGGGATGGTGAGCAGGGGAAAGAAGAGGAGGAGGAGCAGGAGGAGCAGCAGGAGCAGGAGAACCCTCGTACACAGCATGGTATGATTTCTGGCGGGAATCCAAGAGTTTGTGGATGCAGGAAATGCGGAGGATCTTTTTTTGGTTTGGTGGGGGGGTGATGACTATGACCCCTACCTCTGACTGGGTTTTCTAGTACATGAGGTGGGTGTACGGCTCCTGCGCGCAGTCACACCAGCCGGTGAACAGACCCGATGAGGCGGGCTCAAAATAAGTTTTCGAGTCCATTCAATCTTGAATCGGACCGTCGGACTCGCCCGGCCCGGCCACTTCCGATGTCAACTTGAGTCAATGGCCCGGGCCCGGGGGGTTGCCGCGGAGGGGGCGGATCCGAAAGCGGAACTTGCCCGAAGTTTCTCCCCTCCGGGCATCATGGCGGGGCTACTACGGTACTGACCGGGGAGTTCGGAGCCAGTGTGCCGCAACGGTGCCAGTGAGCGGCAGCACTCACTGCGGCGGCCAATGATTGGCGCCGGTCACCGGGTCACGGGGCCCGGGCCCGGGCCCGGGGTTGGGGATTTCGACAAGGTGACCGGTACTCATGAGGGAAAATGAAGGGGTACATTTCATGGGGTGGTGCTGTGAACGCGAGGCGAGGAAGTAGAAAAAAACAATGAGAGCGGGGAATGGAGCGAAGAAGCCATGGAAAGGGATGAAGAGATGAAGAGATGAAGAGATGTAGAAATCAAGAGATCAAGAGATCAAGAGATGAAGGGAGTGATCAGAAGGAGAAGGAGAGGAGATTTTGTAGCGGGAAAGCTGTGGGACAAGAGAGGAGGGGACAGAATGGAGAGGAATGGGGAGAAATAGCGGGGAAGAGAGGTATGATGGCAGGAGGCTGTGAAGCAAGAGTAGATATCGATCGCAAAGTAGAGGCAGGATCAGAGAAACGTTCAAAAGACCTTTAGGGGCGAGGAGATGATATGCAGCAAGGACAAGTCGTTGTAAGCATTGAGATCAGAATGCTGCTCATTGCTTGTCTATATGAAAACGAGATAGTGCTCGTCAAGGATTGACCATAGAACTTGGTACGAACCCCGCCTGCATTCTGATGATTACTTTCCTAGTCTACATCCATGGCGGACTATCCCACAGGATATCCAACCGGTCCCAGCCGCTATCCTGAACACCCGTCGGAACAAGGTGGATACGGGTGAGCAGCGGGAAGCACTGCAGAGTCCTGCTCCTGACATGAGCGCAAAAGGAGGGGGAGAGGAAAGAGTTTTCCCGATCGAGTCGGCATCTATCCGGAAGGCAGCAGTGGACGAGGCCGTGGCCGGGGAGGGGGAGGATCTTACCCTGACTCAAAATCTTCGGGCTACAGCGATGGAGCAGCTGCATACCCCGACGGCCGAGACGGCTCAGGTTCGGACGGACACACTGACTCGTCTGCAGGCGGGGGCCGGGGAAGAGGAAGTGGCAGGGGATACGTGTTCTCAGACGGCGATTGGCCATGCCCGAATCCCAAGTAATGATTGTGTGTGTCCTTGGCTTCTATGCAAACCCTCGTACCTTGTCTTGTGAAACAGTCATGAGTCTGCGCGAATGAGTTGGGATGTTGCACAATGCTCGGAGTGATGGTGGTGCCTCTGCTTTTCACAGTTGCACCAACATGAACTTCGCTAGAAGATCGGAGTGCAACCGTTGTGGAACCCCGGTGCGTTGACCCCTTCGCCCCCCCCTCCTCCCAGCCTCCCCCCTTCCTCCTCCTCCTCATCATCTGCGTGATCATCGCTTTCCTACTCACTCCGTGCAAACGCAGCGGCCAGCCTCTGCCGGCCCCATGCCTTCCAAAGGACGAGGAATGAAGCAAGTCAACCCCGAAGAGCCGAGAGGGAAGATGCCGGCGCCTAAAGATGGCGACTGGCATTGCACCATGTGCATGAACCTCAACTGGGCGCGACGAGACACCTGCAACATCTGCGGGATGAGGAAGCCAGGCGGCTCGGAGGAGAAACGTGAGGGTCGAGCAGGAGGTGGGGCTGGAGAAAGAGTTGCTAGCTGTGTCCTGACGGGAGTGTAGGACACTACGAGAGGCAGGAGATCGCGAGCAAAGCGAGGAGAGATGACTCGGATGAAGAGTACGATGAGTTTGGAAGGTACCAACCTGTCGAGCTTCATGGTCACCAGAGCTGAGAGGTGCCTGCAGGAAGAAGAAGAAGAAGAGGAGGGACTGAGCTGCTGCTGCCTCTCTTCACCTCTCCTTTCAGATTCTCTTATCCTGTTGTGATGGCGAACTGTCAGTCTCGCTGCTCACTTGCTGAAACTCGACGCTGCTTTCTCGCGTTGATGTAAACGTGAATATCTTCACGTCGGCAAGGAGCGCGGGTGGATATTCTTAAGACCTGACAGTTTTATCCTAATCTTAACAATCATAAACTATATTTTAATCTGATAGTTGTCATTTCAAATATTCACATTTCCGAGACTAATCTTTCAACGAGCTCACGTCCTGGCCCAACTCGTGGTAGTCGAAGAACAGCTCTTCTCCTTCCCGCACCATCCTCGTCGTCTTGAACCTGAACCACCTGAGCCATCCCTTCAGTTCCTCATCGCGGCAGATATCATTCGCATCGCAATCCACAGAATACAGCAATGTCTAGCTTTCTCACGTGCATCCTGCTGGTAAGAAGGGAGCAAGGTTTGCACTCCGCCTGGAGTGGTTAATGTAGAAAGAGACATCCATCTTGTTTGGACCATCGGCGATCACCGAGTACCTGAGGCTCGTCAGCTGACGACGCAAGGAGGAGCGGACAGCTCACACAGACATCTCCGTCCCTCCGAGATCGCCGATGAGATCATGGCAATGACTGTGCTGGAGACTGCAGATGTGCTTGTTGAAGAAGCTGGTCACATGCGATCTCACCGCTGCCCCCCAGGTTAGACGAGAGCAGACGGTATGGTGACGACATGCCTGGGTGAAGAGAGGCAAGAGTTCCTTCTGGGATCGCAACAGCCTCGTCCTCCCCTTCCTGACATGAACTTCTACCAGCAGAGAGGAAGGGATCGGTTCCCTAAACCCTGACGTCATCTAGACAGCACCTTCAAGCTCTCGTCACCTCAGGTATATCTCTCAAGGCAAACACTCCGACGCCATGAACGGAGCTGCTACCTAGCCGCACCCACACGTCCTGTCGCTCGCTCAACACAGAGCAGGCTCCATGCAGCAACTGACGTGGCGGAGATTGTGAAGCAGATTCTCGCGTTGTGCTTGCTCGCTCCTGTAACGCGTTTGATGAGAAGAGCGAGAAGGAGAGGAGAGGAAGGAGAAGGGTGGTAAAGGAAGAGAGGAGAGCAACGCCTGCCTCTTCTCTGCCTTCTGGCCCGACAGATCCCCCGGCGTCATCACATGCCGCAGACCTACAACCAGACACAAGGACACGACGAGCTTGAGGAGAACTGAAGGAAGGCATCACAAGAGCTCAGCCGAGGGCCTCTCTCTACAAGGACAGACTGCCGTCAGCCCTCCGATACTCCTCGTCCCCTTGCTGTCTCTGCGTCCCTGAGCGACCATTACTCTACAACGCAACTGATCCTTATCCTTTACCAGACGACGATGAAACCACAGGGAGAGATTCGCCCGGTCACCCCAGACGACACGTCCAACGTCACTCACTACAAGTCCAATGCTGCAGCGCACACCGAGTGTCAATGGTACTCTTCCACTGCGCTGTGCTGTTCTGCTCTTCCCTGCTCTGCTCTGCGCTGCTCTGCGCTGTGCTGCCCTGCCCTGCTCTGCTCTGCCCTGCCCTGCTCTGCCCTGCCCTGCTCTGTCCTGTGCTGCCCTGCTCTGCTCCCCCTGCTCTGCTCTGCCCTGCTCTGCTCTGCTCTGCGCTGCTCTGCCCTGCGCTGCTCTGCTCTGCCCTGCTCTGCTCTGCTCGCTCTCCCTGCTCTGCCCTGCGCTGCTCTGCTCTGCCCTGCTCTGCTCTGCTCTGCTCTTCCCTGCTCTGCCCTGCGCTGCGCTGCTCTGCCCTGCCCTGCCCTGCCCTGCCCTGCCCTGCTCTGCCTTGCCATGCCTGATTCATCTCC